TATATATTATATATATAGTCTATATATTATATATATAGTCTATATATTATATATATATATATTTGTTTCAAGAGCCCTTGTTTCGAAAGACCCGGGTACTTTTTACGAACCACTCAGTTGGTGATGGGCCCCCCCGCCCACTCGGGGCAAACGGAGATAGAAGGAGGTCATGCTCTTCTTGAACTGCTTATATTTTTGCATTGCTGCATGTTTCCGTCAGGTCTGGCTCTCGGCCGCTCAAAAAATTGAGCTTCCGTTCCATCACCGAGGACTTCTCCCGTTCACAGCTTGAAGAGATACATCGAAAAGCGTTGGCCTTTGAACATGCGAACGAAGCCAACAATTTATTGAGCTGTGTTAGGATGATAAATTAGGTACATCTGAGATGGGTCTCATGCATGTGTTTGACACTCCGGCCGCAGCACCCTGCAAGGCTCGCAGGGCCTAATAAGACTAAGACTAAGAGCAACCAATTAGGCCCGTTTCGAGAGCACAGCGCCATGTTCCCACCTGGACATGTTCCCATGTTCTCCACGTTGAAACGCTCCGCGCTTCGAATCACCTTCATCTGCGAGGGGCGGATGCATAATGGTCTGTGGGTGGTTGAAACGGACATAGCTGATTAAAGCTCGAGACAACATCTGCTCCTCAGTGGTGCCAGGCGAGAAATTTCAGAAAGTGCGGAAGAAGTCAATAAGCAGCAGCGAGTGTGTGTGAAGCGAAACCCTTGCGATTCCACTGAGTCTTCGTTCGCACTCTCTCCCTCTCCCCCTCTCTCGCACACATTCTCTCTCTGTTTCTCAATAGACGCCATGTGATTCCTCTTTCTTCGCAGCGTGTCCTCTCAACCCGCAGAATTGGCAGCTGGGGCACCTCGTCCATGTCTTGAAGCAAGTGTTTCAGGTAGTAGATCACCGGGCGCAAGTTGTCCTGCTGCTCTCAAAATCTAGACCACTCAGTTTCAAACCCTGTCCGGGTCATTTGGGGGAAACGAATTATACATGATATTGATATTGATAATTGAATAGAATAGACCAGCACTCTCCAACAGGTCACTACCGGCCACTTTTCAGTCTCCAAAAGCTATCAAAGGAGACCTGCTAGAGAGTGCTGGTACATATGCATACTAACTCTATGAATGAGTCTTTGATGTTAGTTATGGTAGTTTGCATTTTGTTCCATCCACATTTTCCTCTAGAAACCACATGATCGCAAAAAGGCGTCAAAAGCCAAGTGGGCCGTGCTGGCCGTGTCTATTCCTGAATGGACATGGCCCCATTCACACTCGCAAGGAGGGCCACACAAAGCAAACATGCCGAACAAGGCGCTCTCCTGGCTCTTGTGGGAGCGCCAAATCAGGCCATCGAGCAATGTCTCAGCTAAAAAGGGTGCCTCCCGTAGGATGTTGTCTGCAATGTTCGGCTGGAACCTGGGAAATCACAACATAGATTGGATCTAAAAAAGGGGCCGACAACCTCCTAGTGAGAGCAAGAACGAAGTCCATTAAGGAAGAATATGTGTCCTTTTTGTTAACTGTGGGAGCTTTATGTACCTATGAAAATATCAAGGTCTGTGGTCAGCTCAGGACCAACCCAATATCGCCCTACACTTCACGGTTTCTAAGTGATGCGCCAGTGATGCGCTGTTCCTGTCCCAAGTGCCACTCAAATAGCAGCTAACTACTTAGTCTATTGGTCCATCGACGAGCTAATTTATCATCAGCTGGCGCGCGTTCAGCACATGGGTTATGTGTCAGTAGCTTCAGGCCTGAACAGCTCATCTGCTCCGAAGTAGTAGTGATCACGGTCCTTGCTGCTGCGAGGTAGACATGATGACATCACACGTGACGAAGCTCAAAAGTTGTAGCCATTTTTTAAAGGACTGCGATGGACTGCGCGTCCCCATCTCAAGCACCAGCTTCTAGATCAACAAACCTGATATTTTAACTAGTCCGAAGTCGAAGCAAAACATGTCGGACAATTGTGATGACATCGTAAAACGGCTGGATGCCACACCAGCTCAGCGGTGCCTGGATATGCAGTGCCAAGGCTCAGCTCGGATCGTCAGCACATCTTGGATCATCGTCTTGGCGGTGTCATGAGCACCACTCCTGCTTTTGTATTCGGCGGAAGGTCATCGAATGGTGCCACATGCGTGAGCCTCCTCGATCTGAAACACAACTGAATAGCGATGCCCTCCAACCTAATAGCAGCCTCCAACCTAATAGCGATGCCCTCCAACCTAATAGCAGCCTCCAACCTAATAGCAATGGC